ATTTGAGGCCAGTCACAAGCGCAAACTCCCTTAATGTGAAATGTAATTCAGTACCATTGACGTATACTGCAAATACATTGTTTGGAGTGCCGTTTAACTGTCGAGCCATGAAGCATCTGAAGAGTTGATGTTGAACATCAAATCGCTTCATTTGAAGAAATGAGCCAAAGCATGTATTGCCGAATTGTTGGAACTGATCGGGAGTAAGCTTATCTTTTAGCTGGGATACTATATCAGTGTTAGTGTAACTACTAATATGAGGTGCTAATTTTGGCTGGTGTTTCACAAACAAATCAATTCCCTGCAATGAACATTAAAAGATACATGTTAATACAGATGAATACATTGCAAAAATACATATTAAGATTTTTTGGAATACATGTAAGACATGATACAGTGACAAAGCCAAATGCANTATATGTTCAATATGATAACTGCTTTTATACCTCATTATTATCTCCGACATGTGTGTCAATGCCACCATCATGTCTCACTATGGGTTCAGTTTGCTGATTTTGTTGAAGTTGGTCTGAAAGCATCTTGAAGTTATCATTGATCAATGTCCTTAGAGACTTGAACTCTCCAACAACCTTAACAGTACAAAATAGTTAGAAAAATACTAAAACACATAGCTATCAAACTTTATTGATTAATCNCATATGAATGCATATGAATACATTTGAGGTCAAACTGGACAATTGAATTATCGCAAATATACATTAGCAAACGCTAAATACACATGAATACATATGAATACAGGTAAGATTACATTAAAAATGAACTGTTGGAAACAACCAAATACATATGAATACATAAACATACTGTAGAAGAAACATACTACACTATACAAAAAGGTACAAAAATACAAGAAGATAGATATGAATACAACAGAATACATGTAACAAATACCAATTACCTTTTGGTTTCTTGAATCTTTCATAGGTTTTTTCCTCTTTGAGTCAACTTGATTTTTGGTTTCTTTTGAAGCTTCATCAACTTGGACTTCTTTCAACTTGTCCTTGTGTATTTTACTTCTTCTTTCATCAACTTTGGATGCTGATAAACCTGCAAAATCTTTCTCCACTTGAGTCAGTTGCAACGAGAAAGAGGGCCCATCAAAATAGAGAATTTTGGTGGGTATACCTCTGGGTAGTCTGTTGAGTGGCGTTGCATCCGACATTAGAGAGAAAACTCAAAGAATCCTGGTGATTAACAATACAAATGGAAGATATATCAGAAAATTGTGTAAATTTGCTAAGAAAACTCATAGAAACAAACTAATGAAAAAGCAATTGCGAAGAAGAATTACCTACAGGGAGAAAATTTCCAAAATACAACTGTGAAGCTTGCGAAGAAGAATAGCCTTTGGGGCGATAATGGCGGAGGAGGGTTTTGGAAGTGTATGGAACGTGTGTTTGTGGGAGAAGAGAGAAAAGTGTATTGAAGAAGAGAGAGAAAAGCTGATGAGAGGAGATATACGCAAATTAGGTGAGAGAAAATAAAAAAAATGAGATTAAAAAATATTTTGTAGCATATATTAAGCCTTAATTTTAGGATGGAACTAAATTTAGATTTTTTGCTATAAACTAAAAAGGGTATTTATAAAATGTAATATTTTAAAAGGGTATTTATAGAATATAATTAGGGTACTAACCTATTCTATAGGTGCTAAAATTTCCTTTTTATAATATCGTTTCTCTTAGCCGACACATCCTTGCTCCCTAAAACCCCCAAAACGAAAACCCTGCGCATTTCAGCGGTCATTCTCTATGTTTTGAATCGTCAATCCAAATAATTGAAATCTGAAATTATATTTCTTCTTTCAGAACCGTTAAAGATTAATATATGAAAGGTCAAGTTTTGTATTACAGATTGTCTTTTCCCTAAAGCTAGAAAAGAAGAAGCATCTTAAAACGCTTTCTTCTTTTAACATCAACTCTCTTTAATTACTGATGGGAAAAGAGATCAATTTTACTTTTTAATCTATAGGAGGTAATAGGGAGATTATTTTTGTGGGGCCAAAAACGACAATGAATTGTTAAACATGGAAATGCCGGCTTTCAATAGAAAGAATGAAAAGTTAGAAACAAAAAGAATAAATAGTAGCAGTTGAGCGAATAAATAATGGAAAATCCAGTTGAGAAGGTCGTCTTATTTTTAATAGTATGTATATCTTTCTTTATCCGTCATTGTCTACCATCATCAAAAAGAAGTTATTTTGGTGTCTTGCTGGTGGCTTTATGTTTTTCTGACAAGAACAAAGAGGCAAGGGACGGATTTAAAGGTCAGCCCGGTGCACTAAGCTCCCGCTATGCGTGGGGTTCGAGGAAGAGCCGGACCATAAGGGTTTATTGTATGCAGCCTTATCCTGCATTTCTGCAACATGATGTTTCCGCGACTCGAAGCCATGACCTCCTGGTCAAATGACATCAACTTTACTAGTTACACTGGTGAGGTCTTTGGGAAGATTTGGCCATGGCCTTGGGCTATTATTGGCTTCTTTCATTGGTGAACTTTGATTCTTATCCTTCTTGACTTTTTGAAACATGCTCTTTTTTTGTGCAGAAATGAGAGCTAGAGAAGGAAATATATGGGAATATAGCTTGAGGCAGGCTTAAAATAATCAAGATCAGATGTGGCCACCAAGTAACCGTAGACTTCAAGTTAGTTGATCTATTGGAGCACAAGGTTAGTGGTAGTTTCTTTCGCTTAAATAATTGAGTTGACCATTTAGATGCCTTATTAATTTAACATCTATCTGGAACTCACTGTGAAAAAAGTAGTAGTGCAGAGAGTAATATATGGCCTCCAGATTGGACAACTGTAATTTTGAGATGCAGAAAAATTATTTTTCAAATATCGTCTTAGTTCCGAAAAGTTCATAGTATGATAGCAAGTAGCAGTAACCATGTCCTGCATGTAACAACATAAGGCATCAATTTCTTCACTATGCTACCTACATTTCGATTCAAGGACAATCCACACGCTTTTTAAATGTAACCTAAGTGGTCTGAATTCAATGCCATTAGTTACAGTTAGCTACTCATTAATAACCTGGCATCATACCAATTTAGTCTTTGTTTTTGGAATATATATATATATATATAGGATCATCTTTGTTAATGAAATGTGTTAATAAAAGCATCAAGGGAGTCAACAAAAAGTTAAAACTATGGAGAATCACTCCATTCAAGATAAGTTGGAGTAAGATTGAATATGTAAATTGCAAGTTTAGCCCCCTTTGAAGGGGAAGTGGAGGAATTGAAAACTCAGCCTATAAAAAAGAATTCCTTTAAATCACAACTTGATCTCTACTACTTATTGTATATTTATATATATCCGACTGATAACAAAAAATAGTTTTTGAAGAAGTCAACTATCTTGATTCTTGGAGCCCAAGTCTAATAAAATAAACAGCTGGAACAGGGAGACTTAGACTATAAATGCATTTTTTGGATTGTCAGAGAAGCTCCAGAATTAGTCCTTGTTTCCTTTATCCATTATCTATACATGGCTCCGAATGATAGGAGGAAACAGAAAACTTCATCTAAAGAAGAGTCTGTTTATGTGAAACCATGGCAAAATCTTCCTGAAAAGCTAGTCATCTTTCTCCAAAAGCAACCAACACATTCAACTCTAGAAAAATCCATAGGTTCTGCTGGTATTTCTAAATCATGGAGATTTGCATCCAAGAAATGTGATTCCATCGCACAATCACCGTGGCTTGAGCTTTCAAATGAACCTCAATACTATTGCAAAACTCAGAAGCATTCCTTCAACCTCTCATTTGAAGAACCTGGTTGCTATTGGTGGCATGGTAGAAGAAGGCCGCGTTATGATCCTTGGAAGCATTTTCATTACGTCTTGCCTTCGTTGAATAGAGAAAATATACCTATTGATTGCTGTTTTCTGAATACTTCCAAAGGCTATGCTCGTTGGGGTACTTCCTTATACAATGATGGAAAATCATTTATGTCTCCCTTTCTAAATTATCATTCTCACTACTATTCTTTTGTTGGTAGCGGATATTGTTGCTTTCCACGATTTGTGGTTTATCGGTTAGGAAAAAACGAAAAATGGATGCAACAAGAAAGCAGTCAAAATGGCCTAATTGATCCAAATGATCCTAAGGGGCAACTGATACAATTCAGTAACGCCATTATCTTTGAAGGGAAGTTTTATGCACTAAGTTTGCAGGGGACTCTGGCAATAATAGAAGAAAGTGACGAATCTCAGTTTCAACTTACACGACTAAGTAGAAAACAAGCCATTCCTTCGAGCTACTCAAAGCATTTCATAGAGTGCTTTCTTGAGTCTAATGGGGAAATCTTGCTCATTTTCCTAATTTCAGAAAGATCAAACAAGATGGTGGACAAAGTAGAAGTGTTTAAGCTGCAGATTGAAGATTTGTCATGGTTAAAGCTGGAAAATCTCGGAGACAGAACGCTATTTGCGGGGATTAATTGCTCCGCTTCAGTTGCTGCAAGTCAAGTTGGCTGCAGAAATAACTGTGTCTATTTTACTCATAAGGGAATTGATGGTTGGAGACAGTATGATATGAGAAGTGGTTGCATTTTGCCCTGTTATGATAATGCTGGTTCTGAGATAAAAACTCCAGTGTGGGAGGATTTAGAAACTAAAAAATGGTTACGTCGACGTCGACTATTTTGAAACATATGTTTCTGATCCAGAGTATCTCATCTATGTTTTGCTATTATTATGACATGTTAGTAACTTTGTTATTGTGTGAAATAAAAATGGACAAAATGTCTGACTTGTTAAATTGATGACTATTGTTTTGAGAAGCTCCACTTATTTTGAACAGAAATTGTAATTCCCATTAAGGTTGTTTTAATATTTCCTTTTTAAGATGTCTTGGGAGTGAAGAATTGTTATAGGTTATGCGTTGACTTACTGATATTCTTGAACGGATTAGTTGGAGTAATTAGCTGTATCGGTTCCTGTTGGGATGTGCTCTTGTATTTATTAAATTACGTCATTACCAGGAAACTTGTGTTCCAAGAAGTCAACTATTTTGGATTTTGGATGCTAAAGGCAAAAAGTCGCTCAATAAGTAATTAAAAACGGGTTTTGACACAGTTACCCACAAAAATAAAACTATTTATTCTTTGTCTATCAATTTGTTTTCCTAACCATAAATTAATTACATTTCCTACCCATAGTAGGTTTTGTGGAGAATTTTTTCTTTATTCTCCAATCTTTTTTTATTTCTATGCTTATTTTCTTTTCTTTTCTCCTTTTCTTTTTTCTCGTTTTCTTCTTATTTTTTTCTTTTTTCCATTTCTAATTTCATTTAACTTCTTTTTTTATATTCTTTTTCTCTTCATAATCTAATTTCATTTACTGTTTTCACTATTTTTTTATTATTCTTTTTTTTAATATTATTACTAAAGAAAAATCAAATTGTGTACCAATTAAATGTAGCTAATACAACCAAAAAAATATTAACTAACACATGATGCCAGTATAGTATATAGCTATACCAACAAGGTATACAATTGTACGCAATGAGTTAAAAAAAATTAATTTAATTATTAAACTAAAATAATATCAATTGTCAATAAAAAAATTTAAAAATTCTAAAAGGATCTAATTGTAAGACTATACCGTTACATCATATAGCATACTCTATTTTTTTTTGTTGCCATTTTTAATTTGCCCCTCACGCTTGGTAAAAGCTTAAAACAAATTAAAAGGAAAAAGGCAAGTGAATTTATGGGTAATCAGTATACTATTATAGTAAATTGTATACTATTATAGCATATTGTTACATTATCTTGCATATTATTACAGTATACCATAACAATATATTGTATACTATAATAGTATACTGTTGCAGTATAACTATATACTCCTATAGTATATTAGTATACTGTAGCGGTATACTATTTTGTAAACTATAATAGTGTACTGTTGCATTATAGCTATATACTCCTACAGCATATTGTATACCGTAGTGGTATACTGTAGCTGTGTTCTTCTTCGATTTTCAATTGAAAATTTCGATCTCAATCACCTCAAATCAGGTCCAAATGCTATCAAATTTCAGTATGAACTTCTAGAAGGTACTATAAACAATATTTAACAGTACCCACTTTGAATCAAACAAAAAATCTTCAAAAATAAAATTGAGTTTCAAGCCCAACAATGGTGGATATTCAAATACATACAAAAATTTAGATTTGAGATGTAATCTGCTCTTGTACTTAATGAAGTATCCAAACCATGGCTTTGTAAGTTTTGTCCACATGTAATTCTGATCGTATGGTTCATGAAAACTACTCAATTAGAGAAAGGAGGAAGGGGCCAGAGCCTAGTTCAATTTTTTCAAATAACCTCGATTGCGGTTATTAATTGGTCACCTTCTAATGTATGTTAAAATTCTCTTGTACATAACAGTGATTATTCAGAGAGAATCTGTATCCAATCTTTATTTTAGTAAAGCTTAAGCTAAGCTTTTTGTGATTGAAGCCTTGACTCTGGGAACAACTAGCGGTAAATAGTTCGGGGAGTATGAGTAGGAGTAGTAAATAGTTTGGGTCTGGATATTAAAGGCTAAATAGTTGGAATTAATAGGTATAAAGTGAGATTTTCTCAATTCCTATTGGGCTTGTAGTAAGCCTATTGGGCTTGATAAGCTAAGCCTATAAGATTACCAAAAATATTCGTGATCTAACAAATAAATAAAATTGTCAAAATGGTATGACATAGCTATTTTTAGAGGAATTTTCAGAAACTACTATTATTTAGTGACTATTAACTTCCTATAGCTATCATATACATAATTACTTCCTATAGCTACTATTCAGTTGTTATTGTAGTGTATTCATTGTATTTGTGCTGTTGTATTCATGAATACAGCAGCAAAAAGCGCATAAAATCAGGGCAGTGCAGCTGTACATGCATGTATTCATGAATACAGTAAAGACAATCACCTTAAAAATAGGTATGTCCATCTATCTAATAACGGAAATAATATTAATTAGCGTGATACACTCCTAATATAACTCAACAAAATCAATTACATGCCTCATTATCCACTCAATTATAATTCGATATTTTATATTCAGTATATTCAAATATATCTGTATTAACAGTATTTTAGTTACTCCTAATATATTTTATTATTGTTGTATTTAGTATATTTCATTGGTTGAATTCACTGTATTTCTATTTGTATTAAGTATATTTTACTGTATTTTAAAATTAAATGTATTCACTATTTATATTTTGTTCTATTTTAATATTTGTATTCAGTGTATTTCAATGTTTATATCTTGTATTCATGAATGCTGAAATGTACAATATGCATGAATACAAGTGTATTCAGCTGTATTAAAAAAATAAAGATCTTCGTAATACATAAAATTCAGGCAAAAAATGTATTTATATAAAAATACAATGTGTTTGAGTGAATTTGTACAGAATACAATGTATTTGTATCATTGTATGTGACTAAATAGCAAAGAAGAGAAGAAAGTTCGTCGGAGATTGAGTTTTCCGGCCAAGAAGAGAAAAAAGTTCGTCGGATCCGTACAACAAATTTATGATAAGAGTTCATCACATTGCTTCTTTCCATTCGAAAAATTCACTCTTTTCTGTTTCCTGGCTGCCTTCTGCTCTATTCTAATGTCTCATCGGCCATCAATAATAGGGCGTGCATCTTGAGTTGCTCGAAGAGAGAGATTCTTCTTTCTCATCGGCTATCAATACTAGGGCTTGAGTTGCTCGAAGAGAGAGATACGAAAGAGCGAGAAAGAAGAAAAAATCCGAGAGAGAATCTTTTGTTAATTGAAAGAAAGAGAGAGGAAACACATAAAAAGGTATTTCATGCCTCAATAGTAGTATATACCATAAATACCTAGTTTGCTATAAAATATAAAAGGTAGCTATATAAAATAATACTATTTTAAAATAATTTTAATTTATAATAAATAGGGTGTATACCTTTGCTATAGGAGGTAAAATTTTCCTATTTTTACGGGTGGTTATGAAAAAGTGTTTGCAAAGTTATTGAAATGTAGCCACTATATAACGTGGAGATAAAATTTGGTCCAAAGTACCCAAGCAAAAACACGAAAAGTCTTAGCAATATAATAAACTCTTATATATAAACTTCTAACATATTATGAATTGCAACACATATGCTAGATTTTTTTTGGATTTTAATGATATTTTTGTTCAGATTCTATTGACGTGAAAAAGTGGCTTAAATTTTGATTAATTTTGAAATTAGAGTTAATTTTCAATTAACAATCGTAGATCAGGCTATTTCTGATAACTGCGTTCGTTTAGACAAAACAAAGCCGGCCATAGCCTATCCTTGATATTGTCGCAAAAACAAAAGGTAAAGACAAAACAAATTCACAAAACAAACATTTCCTAATCGACTGTAAACAGTGCGTAAATGAAACGACGTTGTCAAAAATTTCTTTTTAAAAAAATATATTATTTTCCTCTTGAATTATGTATACATAAACAGTCATCTGTCTGAAAGATCTTACACAATCCAAGCCATGGTTTTCAGCAAAATTTTGAACATCTTACTATTCTTAGTACTTTTTGTTATCCCTTCTTTCTATTCATTGAACTTTAACCTCTCCAGCATCAATCCTTCTGATGCTAATCGTTCTATCAATGTCACTGGAGACGCCTATATATCGAACCAAGGCATCCAAGTCACCCCTGATGAACGTAACGTGGCATTAGGTGGAAAAACTGGTCGAGCTAATTTTATTGAGCCGCTACAATTATGGAATAAGGCTACAGGAGAATTGGCAGATTTTACTACACATTTCTCCTTTGTTATTGATTCAAATGGTAACAATAGCTTTGCTGATGGACTTGCATTTTTCTTAGCTCCTGTTGGTTCCAGTATCCCAATTGGTTCAGCAGGTAACGGCCTTGGTCTTGCCAAGGCCGAGTTAGAAGGCAGCTCATCCCCTGAGCCATTTGTTGCTATTGAGTTCGATACATTTCTCAATACCTGGGACCCACCCTATTTACATGTTGGTATCAATGTAAATTCTATGGAGTCTGCTGTTACTCAAGTATGGAGGAATAACATTACACTGGGGAAGAAAAATGATGCTTGGATTAGTTACAATTCTAGTTCCCACAGTCTTGAAGTTATTTTCACTGGATTTACAAATAATAAATATTACAAGGACAAGCTTAGTTTATTGATTGATCTGAGGAATTATTTGCCTGAGAATGTTACTTTTGGCTTCTCAGCATCAACTGGACAATTGTTTCAGAAAAACAATGTCAAGTCTTGGGATTTCAATTCAAGTTTGAGTTTTGATCCTAACAAAGTTCCAGAACATGCTGAACAGCCTAGTGCAAATCCTCCTATTACTCAAGTTCAAGATTCAAAGGCTCCTCCTTCTAATCAAGAAATCAGTACCAGAAAAAAAGGAAATAAGGGACTAGTCGTTGGATCAAGTATAGGTTTACCTATTCTGGTTTTCGGATTGATTGCTGCCAGCTGCTTTTTATTGAAGAAAAAGAGGAAAAGGAATGATAAAGACCATGTCTTTACTGATCTGAGTATGGACAATGAATTTCAAAAGGGTACTGGCCCTAAGAAGTTTTCATATGGTGAATTAGCTCGTGCAACGAACAACTTTGCTGAGGGACAGAAGCTTGGAGAAGGTGGATTTGGTGAAGTTTATGAAGGTTTACTGAAGGAATGTAAATCACATGTTGCTGTTAAGAGAGTATCAAACGGTTCTAAACAAGGGATAAAGGAGTATGCATCAGAAGTGAAGATCATCAGTCGATTAAGACACAGAAATTTGGTTCAACTTATTGGTTGGTGTCACGAGAAAGGGCAGCTGCATCTTGTTTATGAATTGATGCCTAATGGAAGCTTAGATAAGCATCTTTTCAAGGAGAAGTCATTGTTGGTATGGGAAATCAGGTGGAAAATTGTTCAAGGATTGGCCTCGGCGTTGCTATATTTACACGAAGAGTGGGAACAATGTGTAGTCCATAGGGACGTAAAAGCAAGTAACGTCATGTTGGATTCAAACTTCAATGCAAAATTAGGCGATTTTGGTTTGGCTAGACTTGTCGATCATGAAAAAGGATCTCAAACAACAATGTTGGCGGGGACAGTGGGGTATATGGCGCCTGAATGTGTTATGAATGGAAAAGCTAGTAAGGAATCAGATGTCTACAGTTTTGGAATAGTAGCATTGGAAATAGCAAGTGGAAGAAGATCAATAGATATCAAAGCAGCAGAAGATCAAGTGAGATTGGTAGAATGGGTGTGGAATCTCTATGGAATGGGAAAGCTAGTTGAAGCAGCTGATCCAAGATTGAATAAGATATTTAATGAGCAACAAATGGAACGTTTAATGGTTGTCGGTCTCTGGTGTGCTCATCCGGACAACAAACTCAGGCCATCGATTAGGCAAGCAATTCATGTTCTTAATTCTGAAGTTCAGTTACCTATTCTTCCCTCAAGAATGCCAGTTGCGACGTATTCTCCCCCTCCATTGAATATGTTTTCGCCTCCATTTTCACATACTTATGAAACTAAAACAGTGGGGAGTGAGCAGGAACAGACTATGACTTACACTTATAACAGTACTAAATCCTCAAGTGTTTATACATCATCAGCTGCTTCGTCGACAAAATCCCTTTTGTAACTATGACTAGTACCTTTTTTATATTGAATTTGTTCATGAGTTCATTTCTGTCTGTTTCACTTAGTTGAATTTTATGTAACTTTCCTCTCTTGCAATTAAGGACTTTGACGATTAACAGAACCGAATGCTTCTCATGGATGATTGAGTTATAGATTTTGTTAGAAGTTGAATTCAAATCCATTTGACAGCAAAAACAAAGGAAATTTATTTTTCATTTATGATTTTGGCTCTTTCATCTTTTGAAAGGTTGAAGTTATTGGAGGTTGTTAGTTGACCTTTTGCTAAGTAAGTTCTTGATAGAAATGGTTTATAGGCATATATAACATATTTGCTCCATTATTTATTCGCTCAACTGATACTATCTTAGTGAATCTTACAATCCAGGCTATTATTCTTTTTGTTTCTAACTTTTCATTCTTTCTGTTGAAAGCCGGTTTCATTCAAATCCATGTTTTACAATTCATTGCCGTTTTTGGCCCCACAAAAATAATCTCCCTAAATTACAAAGTAAAATTGATCTCTTTTAGAGAAAAAGGCAAGCTGTAATGCAAAACTTTTATCTGTATCATTAATCTTTAATGGTTCTGATATAATTTCAGATTTCAACTATTTGGATTGACGACTCAAAACATTGGGAATGACATCTGAAAAGGGCGGGGTTTTCGTTTTTGGGGTTTTACGAGCAAGGGTGTGTCAGCCAAGAGAAAGGATATTTCAAAAATTGCACTGGCCTAATAGCCTGTTTGGCCAAGCTGGAGAAATTACCTTATTTTGAGAATTGCTTTTAAAAAAAGTACTTTTGGAGAGAATTAGTTTGTGTTTGGCTAATCAGTCTGAAAAATACTTTTAAGAAATAATTTGTGTTTGACCAAACTTTTTAGAAAGTGCTTTTAAGTATCAAATTACGAATAAGAATATGAATAAATTTACTTATAATTAATATTATAAGTAAATAAATAATATCAAAATTTTGTTATTACATGCAGTAATTAAAAAAAAATCATTTTATTTAAGTAAAATATGAAAATTAAATTAAAAAGTACTTAATTCTTTTAATATAAGTTAAATATATTAAAATTCCTTCAACAAATATAAAAGCATTCACCCCTAAAGATACTATATATTAGAAAGTTTCCTAAAAATAAGAAGAAATATTTATAAATTAATATCCTAGGTATTAGGTTTAAGGGTTATTTTGGTATATACTATATTTTGTTAAGGGTATTTTAGGTAAGAAGAAAAGCCAAAACTGCTTCTGCTTCTGCTTTTGGAAAGAAACTACTTTTTTCTGCTTCTCTGAAACTGCTTCTTCTTCTTCTTCTTCTTCTTCTTCTTCTTCCCAAAAGCACTTTTTTTCCCAAATAAGCTTGGGCAAACACCTCAAATTAGAAAAAAAAAGTGCTTTTGAAAAAAAGAAGCACTTTTTTGTCTAGAGAAGCTTGGACAAACAGGCTATAAGTCGCCTATCGTTTTAGCGAGTTGTCGTTTTGAAATTTTGCTTGTGAATAGAGGTCGGGTTGGTTCAAGTTTTCTAATCACCTAACCAAATCAATTGTATCGGGTTATTAAATCTAAAGACCAAACCAAATCAATAAAAGTCGGGTTTTTCAATCTCGATTTTTCTTGGGTTTTTCGGATTTTTTTCATGTTTTTCATAAAGTCTTCATAGCACAAAATATAGAATTTGTGCTCTAAATATTTCTTTAATCCTAGTAAGATAGGACCTCTGTTTTAAAAGGCAGAATTGGGACTCGCCCTGAGGTGGAACACTCGTAAAACGCCTATGGGCTTATGTGTGGGGCTTAGTTCTGTGAGACTTGCGCCTCGGCCGTCGGGGCTTACGCCCAACGCCCAGCGTTGTACTCGACTCGCCTAATAGAACTTTATGCAATTGTGTGTAACTAATCTTGTAAATCCTCAAATTTTCTTAATAAATCGTTGATTATTCAAAATTCTTTTTTCCTTAATCACAAATCATTAAGTTGAGAGTATTTTATGTGATAATTAAAATAAAAATTATTGCACGTTATCCACTAAGACTGCTATGATAGTAAATTTTAAATAAATCTTTCATTTAAAAGTATTTATTTATTAACTTAATTTTGTTACGTTTTATTATATAATAATCCATACTTTATTATTCATATAATTTATAAATATTTTAAATAGATTATTTGTCATAATTTTGTAATTTTTATAATTATTTTTTATTTATACTATCTTGAAATTCTTTAAATTAGTAAAATTTAAAGATCCGTGGAACTTACGCCCCATGTTTTAGGGCTTACGCCTCTCCTCGTTGGAGGTAAACCGCCTCGCCTCATGCCCCCGCCTTTTAAAACATTGGATAGAACTATATAAATGTTATGAATAGAATTCTATTTAGAGTGAATGTCTATCTTGTAGAGAGTTTCACTTTGTGGCTAAGTCATTTTTCCCCTAATAATAGAGGGATCTTACCCCATTGTATATCATCCCAAAATTCAATAAGAATTACTCTCTCTTTCTCTGCAATATTATTCTACTTTTATTGTTTTATTACACGTTATCAGCATGAGACTCTACCGCCTCAAGAAGCTCTTTGAGAAGATTAAGGTATAACTTTTCTTCTCTTTTTAATTATGACTGACATTATGAAAAGAAAGTTCGTTGCCCTTGAAATTTCGGGCAAGAACTATATGACATGAGTGTTGGATGTTGAAATCCATTTAGATGCAATGGGTCTCGGAGACGTCACTAAAGACAAAAATAAAGCATCTACCCAAGACTGTGCTAAGGCCTTGATTTTCTTGCGCCATCACCTTGATGAAAGGTTAAAAATAGAATATCTCACAGTCAAAGATCCACTTATTTTATGGAATGGCTTAAAGGAAAGATATGACAACTTAAAGTTCGTCACTCTTCCACAAGCACGATATGATTGGGCACATCTAAGGCTCCAAGACTTTAAATCTGTTTCTGAATATAATTCTGCGATGTTCAGAATTACTTCTAAATTGAAACTTTATGGAGATACTATCACTGATTATGATATGCTTGAAAAAACCTTTACAATCTTTCATGCCTCCAATATGGTCCTGCAACAGCAGTACAGAGAGAAAAGTTTCAAGAAGTACTCTGAGTTGATTTCTCTTCTCCTTGTGGCTGAACGAAACAACGAATTGCTCATGAGAAATCACGAAAATCGACCCACTGGGTCTACACCATTGCCTAAAGTGGATGAGGTGTATTCCCATTATGCTAAGCGTGGAAAAGGCCATGGCCCTATTCGTGGTAGTGGTCGTGGCCGTGGAAAAGGAAGAAATTTTCCTGGTGTTTGTGAGCACATGATTTTTGTTTACGCGACAATTACTCCAAAAGAAATCAAAAAATAAAACAAATGGTTTTGTTGTACAATTTTTGGAATTTACGTGGCATTTTTGGTAGTTATTTGTAGTTTTTTTTGTGATTGTTTAGTTTTGTCAAATAAAAATATTAAAAAATATATGTCGCGTGTAAGTTTAGGATATCGTTCTTCTATTAGGAATTAATCAAACCATAATTTGGTTTTAAGGGAAAATCACAAAAAAATATGCATCTTTTATTCTATTTGTTGTCATTAAGTGATTTTATTTTATTTAAATGGTTAATGTGTGTGATAATTGTTGTTTAAGTAGTAATCAATATTCGTATAAGTTTTATTTTGATTTTACAACTTAGGTAGGAATTTTGTTTAAATTAGAAATTAAAAGAAGGAAAAGAAAAGAGTTTAAATTGGAGAAAATCCGGATTTGGGCTCAAATGTGAGACCAAAAATCAGGCCCAAATCATTTCATGACCCAGTCTGTTTTCATGATCTCTATAGCCTCACCAAACGACGTCGTTTAGGGACTATCAAATCTGGACCGTTGATCAAACATATCTAACGGTCCAGTTCAACTCCCATTTTAAACCAAACGACACTCAATTGGAGCCGTCCATCTTGTTCAATCCTACGGTCTCCGACACACCTCATTAGCCCGACCCATTCCCGTCAAAACCGACCTAGTCCCCTCTGAGACAAAACGACCCCGTTTCATATAGTTAAAGTGATTCAAACCGTTGATCTCATTAGATCTAACGACTTGGATTCACTCACTCACCCCGTATATAAACCTGCCCCTCTCACCCCGCACCCTAAGCCAAACCCCCCTCCTCTCTTCGTCTCCCTCACCAAACCCAAACCTCTTAGAACCCTAGCGCCGCCCCCTTTCCCCTCACCGTAAACCCGGCGGCAACAATACTAGTGACCCCCAGGCTAACACCCCTAGTACACCTCGACCCCCTGAACACAGATCCACAAGCCATGGGTCTCGAATCTTCTCCCACCGTCTCGAATCTTTGTTTGAAGATTCGAGCCGGACCCCAACCCATGCCAAACCACCCCAAATCCATGCCAGGTACTGTCACACCTCCTTTTTACGCACCCGGGAGGGTACAAGGGAGTTTTTTCCAATTAAAGGACAATCGAAACGGGATTGGTTTAATTATTTCAGAGTCGCCACTTGGGATATTTAGGGTGTCCCAAGTAACCAATTTTAATCCCGAATCGAGGAAAAGAATGACTCTATATTATGGTCTGCGTACCAGAAATCCGGATAAGGAATTCTGTTAACCCGGGAGAAGGTGTTAGGCATTCCCGAGTTCCGTGGTTCTAGCACGGNTAGGAAAAGTAAAACCCCACAGAAAACCTGATCAAACTGGACTCTTGCACAGTTTCTTCTAGACAATACTCATTCACAATGTTCTGAAATTTATTTCTGTTTTTCCTTTTCAGTTTTTCTTACTCCTAAGATCTCTCCAGACTCAAACAATAATCCCCCTGTTCTAATGGAAGGTCTCCTCTTTTATAGCCTAACCTTAACACTTTACAGTCTGTTTTATAACTCAAAATTGCCCCCTCCTCGTTGTTTTTCCACTCACTTCTTTTAAATAAACAAAACTCCCATCAAATCCCTGACAGTCCCTCTCTTTTTTTTTTG